GGGGGGGAGGGTGAGGGCTCCCCATGCGCTGCCCTTGCCACGCCTCCAGCTACCTTCCCCGAAACTCCCATTGGCCACGGTTCCCCGTTCCCAGCCAATCGGAGCTGCGGGGAGTGGTGCCTGGAGGCAAGAGCAATGCACGGAGCCTTCCCCCCCCTCCGCCCGGGGGCCACAGGGAAGTGATGCCAGCCGCTTCCGAGAGCAGTGGGGGGCCTACGGCACCACGGGGGGCAATCCTGTGGGCCGGATCCAAAGCCCTGAGGGGCCGGATCTGGCCCATGGGCCGTAGTTTGTACACCCCTGATCTAGTCTGACCTCCTGTATACCACAAGTCAAAGAATTCCATCAGTTACTCCTGTATTGAGCCCAGTGACTTAGGATTGACTAAAGCAAGCCTTCTGGAAAGGCATCCACACTTGATTTGAAGACTTCAAGAGATGGTGAATCCATCTCTTCACTTAGTGCTTTGTTCCAGTGGTTAGTCCCCCTCGCTGTTAAAAATTTGGGCCTTATTTCTAATTTGAATTTGTCTGGCTTCAACTTACAGGCATTGGTTCTTCTGCCAATTCTCCAAGCAATGTTTGGCTGAAGCAAGTGATAGATTCTTTCACCTTTCACTCCAGGCTAATGATGTTATTTGCCTGGGAACTTCTTTAGCTTTTTAAAATGCTGAATAATAGTTTAGCGACAGGAATCCACGCAGACCTTGCCCAGACTCTGATGGATTCCTCCCCAGACAGCTCCTGTATCCATGTGCTGCGTCCTTCCTCACCTGTCTCATATTGGATCCCTTGTCCGCGTGTCACTTGCTCACCTTCCAGAACAGACCCTCTTGCACTCCATATCATTTCCCAACAGCATCTCTTCACCCATTAAAGCAGTCTTCTTTATAAAGTAGCTATCAGGACAGGCATCATTTGCAAAGTTCCCCTGGAGACACGCACGCCTTGTAAAGGGTGCATCATACGGACGGGTGTATCTAATGCATATATCCAGCTGAGGTGGGTATCAGTCAAACTCGTGTGCCTTATATACACTTAAAAAGATAATGGGCCAATGCTTCTTCGCTGCCTTGCACCTTATGTCAATATTTACATTAGGGCGAAGTAGATGTAAAGTGCTAATAGATCAGATTGGCCATAGGTACAAGGCAGTGGAGAGTCACAGCCGGCGTGTATACACTTCAAGGCCCACATCCTTAGCTTGTGTAACTCAACATAGCTCCATTAAAGACAATGTCAGCATTGTAGACCTTAGAGCAAGGCAGGTCTACACCAGCTGTGGATCCACAATGATGGCTAAGGGACAGGAAACTGAAGCAGCTTAAAATGCACCAGACTGCAAACCTGCCTGCACATAGCAGTGTTCTGGAGCGTCATGAAAATCTGACAAGGGCATTTCAATTAATAATTATCCATTTTGGAATCTGCAAGAATTTAAACCACAACAATTAAAAGCATGGGTCGTTCAAGGGACGTTCAATCCCCATTTCAGAACAGTGAAGATTCCACTTTGTAGTGGTGAGGTTCTTGCTGAGGGGGGATGGGGGAGGAATCTGATCTGTGAGGACAGGAAAAGATGGAAGTAAATATGCAGTCCTGCACATTACCCATAGCTGTGAATATTTTTCCTAAAGGCTGGTTATTTGAGTGACAGCCTGCTCCAGGGGGGAGGGCATGGGGCTGGCAGTGAGCAGGCTGCAGGGTGACCTTGAGCAAGTCACTTCTCCTTTCTGTGCCTCTGTTTCTATTTGTCCATTTGTATTGCAAGCACTTGGAGACAGAAGCCGTTTCTATGTATATGTTCAGCTTCCAGCATAACAGGGCCCTGATCTCAGCTGGGGTCTGCGGGTGTTAGTGCAATACACACAAAGAATCATAATAAAGGCAAGAAGTACCATGGAGGTTGGAAATAAGGGTTTATTTTAAAGTAGGCTAATAGATTGGCCTTGACAGCAGCCGCATAAGCAACTGTGTGTGCCAGCGCTTAGCTGCAAGGTAAACCGACATATGGAGCAGCTCCTGGGGACAGGGAGGAGCTAAGACCACAAGGAGACAGGTGGCATCTCAGAATTAAGGGGCAGGATGAATCGTTTCTGAAAGCGCTGCTTGGGTGTCTTAGTAGCGAATTTAAAAGACAAAAGGCATCTGACGCCTGTCTTCCAAAGAGCCTCCAGCTTCTAAAAACAAATTGAAAATGCTGAGGGTTGATGTTTATCAGGTGAAACTCCACTCAGGGCTAGCTGGTGTAAGTTGGTGTAGCACCACTGAAGTTGAATAGACAATCTCCTCTGAAGTCAGTGAAGTTTTGCTGATTTACACCAGGCAAAGAGTCGTCTCTGAAATGTTCCAGATCCAGGTTTTTTTGCCAAACTATTAAACCTAACACTTGTAGGGTTTAAAACTAAATCCTTCCCATCCAACAATGTTGAAGGTCAGGATTCCAGCCACACTCTGCTGCTTTTGTCTTGCTTGTAGCATTTTCATGTGGTAACATGTTACTGGCAATTAAAACCATTGGAGGTTTTTAAGAGCAGGTTAGACAAACACCTGTCAAGGACAGTCTAGGTTTACTTGGTCCTACGTCAGCATGGGGGGCATGGTCTAGATGACCTCTTGAGGTCCTTTCCAGCCCTTCATTTCTATGATTCTATGAATACATGCAGAGAGGACTTGTTAAGAACATAAGAACTGCCACAGTGGGTCAAACCAATAGTCCATCTAGCCCAGTATCCTGTTTCTGACAGCAACCAGTACCAGAGCTTCATGAGGAGTGTACAGAACGGGACAGTTGGAGGGATCCACTTCTGTCTTCCACTCCTGGCTTCTGGTAGTCAGAGTTTTAGGGTCACGCTGAGCATGGGGTGGCATCCCTGACCATTGTGGCTAATTGCCATTGATAGACCTCTCCTCCATTAATTTATCTAGTTCTTTTTTGAACCCTGCTATACTTTTGGCCTTCACAACATCCTTTGGCAATGAGTTCCACCCGTTAATTGAGCATTTTGTAAAAAAGTACTTCCTTTTGTTTGTATTAAACCTGCTGCCTATTAATTTGACTAAGTGACCCCTGGATTTTGTATTGTGAGGAAGGGTAAACAGACTTCTCTATTAATTTTTTCCACACCACTCATGATTTTATAGACCTCTGTCATATCCCCTCCTTAATCTCTTATCTAAACTGGACAGCTCTAATCTTTGTAATCTTTCTTTAAAGGTATGAAAGCCGTTCCATACCCTTGATCATCGTTGTTGCCCTTCTCTGAACCTTTTTCCAGTTCCATTATATCCTTTTTGAGATGAGTCAACCAGAACTGCACACAGTATTCAAGGGTTGGGCGCACCCTGGGTTTATAGAGTGGCACTATGATATGTTCTGTCTTATTTTCTATCCCGTTACTAATAGTTCCTAGCATTGTTAGCATTTTTGAGCACTGCTGTGCGTTAAGCAGAAGTTTCTAGTATCCATGGTGACTTGTTCTTCCAGTTTGGTTCTGGCACATTCACTCATCCCTTCACGGAGTGCAAGATGCCTTGCAGCCCTCCGTGCAGGCTGCTCAGGGGACGGCTGTAGCCACTCGACAGTGTGAACACATCAAGCGTCCCAGGTGCTTGGTTTGTTGCCAAGCAGCAGTTAAGGTGTGTTACCCCCACGCATTAAGGCGAGTTAGACTGGGGAGGCTGAAATGAGAAGAAAACCCAGTTACCTCTTCAGAGGGCCTCAAGAATGGACTTACATGAAATTCACAAGTGGGGTGAGGCTGCTATAGCCTCATCTGGGTAGAGAACTGCATTGTTACAAATTGCTATTGTTCATGGGACTGCTGTGACTTGTAACAATGCACTGAGACCACACTAGACATCTCAGCAAGTGTGTATCTGTTCAGCATGTCCACACATCGTGCTCCCTCCAAGCAAGGCAGTGCCAGCGTATCATGGGTGGCCGGGCCCAGCACAACTCCCTGATGGGGAGAAGTGGGAACTGCAAACCATTTTGGGAGAGGTGCTGTACTGTACCTATCTCTGTGTTCAATCTGGTCTGTGTTTACTCTAGCCTCTCTTTGCCAGAAACTGGGAATGGGCGACAGGGGATGGATCACTTGATGACAGGATACTGGGCTAGATGGACCTTTGATCTGACCCGGTATGGCCATTCTTATGTTCTGTGTAAGTCTGCACTAGAAAGCGTTTGTCAGCATAGCTAGACCAACATACCCTGCTAGTATCGACACAACTTATATAAACAAAAGTTTCTGCTGCTGCTCAAACTTATACCAATGCCCCAAACAAAATAGATGATACCGGCCACCAGACTTTTTTGCCTGTATAACTGTGTCTACACTAGGGCACATACACAGCCATGGTGGTTAGGGGCAAGGGGGGGAGGGTTCATATTCCTAACTGACATAGCTATGCCAGTAACATTTTTAAGTGTAGACGAGACCTAACGCTGCAGTGAGACCTGTCCCAGAATATTCATAACCTGGTGGTCCCAGAATATTCATAACTGTCCAGCAATGTGGAAGAGCCAAGTTCAAATTACTTCTCCACACAAGGGAAAGCTAAAGGTTATAAGGCCGGGACCTCCGCTGGCCATTTTGTTAATCTAACCCTTCTTATCCTTTTATTTTATTTTTAAAATGCCAGGAAACAAAACAAAACATTTTGTTTCAGACCAAACAAAACATTTCTTCCCACTCAAAACAAAAATGTTTTGTCAACTTTTTCGATTTGCCAAAATTGTTCAGAATTTATGGCATTAGGTTGACCCAAACCAATTTTTTTTCACTTCTCTGGAACAGCCAGCAAACCAAAAAATCAGTTATCTGACCAGCTGTAGTGTGGACATAAGCAATGTATCAGGTGCAGGCAACAGCAGAATTCTCTAGTGCAGACACGGCTCCAGTGTTTACAGTTTTTCTATTCATTGCTTTGGACATGCAGATAATTAAGTTACGGGGCTGTGTGTGTTAACGATAATCTAATACGGAAGTTCTGACGAGGTGTCAAATGTTGCTGGCATTCTCAAGGAATCCCTGGAGTTTTATTGCATTGCCATGTTCCTGAAGCTATCATGTGGGCTGGCTAGCAGATTCTTGCTGCATATATGCTGCCTCTCACTCTGCATGAGTCTGTCACACTGAGACAAAGCCACCTGTCCAAAATTCCTGTTGACTTCCAGGGTACAGCCCGAAAGACAGAGCTCACCTTCCTGCAATGGCTCCAAGTTTTTAAAAAACAGACATATTTTGCTGTTTGTCTTATAGGGCAAACGTTGTTTTGTGATGATGTGAGTTTGTGATGTAATGTCTTGGCACTGCGTCATCGTATAGGCAGTGCAGTGAAGTCAGAAGAAAATGCCATTGCGTCATGATGCAGTGTTATGACCTGATGATGCAACATCCCAGAGCCTAACTTTAGTGAAAAACAATGCCAGGTTAGATCCAGTGCAACAGGAAATCCCATTTAAACAAAATAATGAACATCATTTGCTGAATAATAGTTATTCTCTATTTTTCCCATCAAAGAGATCTTGGAGTCATTGTAGATTGTTCTCTGAAACATCTGCTCAATGTGCAGAGGCGGCCAAAAAAGCAAACTGTGTAAGGAGAGGGGTAGATAATACAGAAAATATCATAACAGCAGTATATAAATCCATGGTACGCCAACACCTTGAATACTGCATGCAGTTCTGGTTGCCTCATATCACAAAAGAGATATTAGAATAGGAAAAGGTACAGAGATGGGCAACAAAAATTAGGGGTGTGGGGCAGCTTCCATATGTGGAGAGATTTTTTAAAAACTATGACTGTTTATCTTAGAAAAGAGATGACTAAGGGTGGATATGACAGAGGTCTATAAAATCATGACTGGTGTGGAGCCCAGGGAAGTGTTATTTACCCCTGCACATAACATAAGAACCAGGGATTGCCCATGAAATTAAGAGGCAGCAGGTTTAAAACAAACACAAGGAAGTACTTCTTCACACAACACACAGTCAACGTGTGGAACTTGTTACCAAGAGATGTTGTGAAGGCCAAAAGTATAACTGGGTTCAAAAAAGAATTAGCCAAGTTCCTGGAAGATAGGTCCACCAATGGCTATTAGTCAAGATGGTCAGGGACTACAACTCCATGCACCGGGTGACCCTAAACCTCCAACTGCCAGAAGCTGGAACTGGATGACAGAGGATGGATGACTCAAAATTGCCCTGTTCTGTTCATTCCCTCTTAAGCATCTGGCATTGGTCACTGTCAGAAAACAGGATACTGGGCTAGATGGACCACTAGTCTGATACAGAATGGCCATTTTTATATTCTTAGAAAGAGTCATGTGGATAATATGAGGGCAACACAGGCCACGTGGGAGTGTATGTTTATCGGTATAGCAGTTTGGCTGAGGTTCAGATAAGCACCTGAACTTTTGGATGCTTAACTGAAATAAATCTTTCCAAGGTTCATTTACCTATTGCTAGTTGTTTAGACAAGCACACATAACACACATATCTGCAGCTACTTGCTGCAGACTTGATTAAAATCTGTCTCACCAATTTTATGACTTGCTGCAAAAAATGTCAGCAAAGCACTCAAAATATTAGAACCCCTGCTCAGAGTCCTTGGTTATGCACCAGTTATAATGGGCTCAGAGACATACACAGCCCCTGTTCCTTATGTGGATGCCGCACAGTCCTTGTTATAAGCCTTTTGTCATGATTGTATAGTGACTGAAGAGCTATCTTTCAATGTACTATGTCCTTTAGCATACCACAGGTTAGAAGAGTCAGATTCCAAGCTCTGTGATTCTGGAGTCTGTCAGGTGTGACTCTAGTGACAGCAGAGTTACTCCGGATTTACAGTGATGTAACTAACTGCAATCAGAATCTGGCTGACATTATTTTGTGTGTAACACTACCTGCACAATACTCCATTACTCGAATGTTTAGGGTGCAAAATCAAGCACTCAAAAGTTAGGTAATGCCAGAAGTAAGGTTTGTGCAACCTTAAGTCACACATATACCCCACCCCTGTCTGTGTTCATTATGATACAGTCTTTAAATATATGAGCACATGCTATTTTTTTGCCACAGGACCCTGCCTCATTCAGTGCACCTTTACTATGCATTCAGTTCCCCGTCACTGACATACAGGCAGGTTGGCTGAGGCCGCTGGGCCCTTCTATATAGCCTGGATGGCCTGGTTTGCATGTAGAGATCTGATTTTCAAAAGCACTCAGCACTGGCCTGATCCAGCTCCCATCAAAGTCTAGGGACATTGGGGGGGGGGGGGGCAATACAGAGGCCTTTTTGGAAATTCCACCTTAGATTGATTGCCCTAAAAGTTTCCACCATGGCAGCTCCAGAGGAGAATCCATAGCTGAGTGAGATTGAGATTGTGAATATTTTCCTATAGCCCAGGCTGAATTCAAGAGGAGCTGAGTGGGGGTGGAAGGGATTTGAAATTCAGAAGAGTTATGAGCTAGTGATCTCATTTGCTAGCGCTTCCGGCCATCTGCAACAGAAAACCTTTCAGCTCAGGCATAATGTCCTCTACCTTTCTCCAATAACTGTCTGTCACTTGTGCCTTAGCTCCAGAGAATATTTTAGTTTAGAGATAGATTCTCCTGACAGAAGCCAGTGCCAGAAAGTGAAAGATTGTGTGTTGCTCAAAAATTGGCTGTTTTGTTACAGAAGAGAATGAAGAGAAACAGCCACTGACGAGCAAAGAGGAGGAAGAGCGCCGCATTGCAGAAATGGGACGCCCAGTACTGGGAGAACATACCAAACTAGAAGTCATTATTGAAGAATCCTATGAGTTCAAGGTACAGCAATTGTCTGCTTCACTCCCCACAGGGCATGCAAGCCCTGAATTCACATTAGCATCTCACTGCATTTTATTAGATTGCTAAACTAGGGCCTCCATCTTTTTTACATGCCCAGTAAGCACATATCTGGCAAGCACATGCTATGCACAGGAGGGTATCGTCCTTGTGAAGCAAGTATATTGAACGCTTGAGGCCCAGATTCAGCCAAAGCATTGACACATGTTTAAATCCATCCCTATTCAGCAAAGAACTCCAGCACATGCTTAAATTCCAGTGACTTCAATGGGATTCAAGCTAATGCGTAAGTGCTTTGCTGAACAGAGGCAGACTACTTAATTGGCACCATAAAGAGGTTGTGTTGGGATGGGGATGATTGGAACAGAAGGAGTTGGGAGCCCAGATTTCATATGGTAGAGGTGTAATCAGAGACAATGCTATACAGAAAAATTCACCAGGGGCAGGGTGTGTTCATGTTCTGCTGAATTTACAGCCTTTATGCTTAAAAATCAAACCCACTAATGGCCCTTTATGTCCTCCGTGGGAGAGGCCCCAAAACAGCAACTTGAGGCATCATCAGGAGCTTCTGGAGGAGCGAGTGTTTCTGCCCCCAACTCCCAAAGGGAGCACAAGTGGCTGAATAAGGCACAGCTGGTGCTATATACTGTCCCTTCTCAGCAGCCAGCTGTGACGTCACGACAACAGCAAGACTGTGGACTTGTTAATAGCAATGGTGTGGGTTTCTTTCTGGCAGTTCACTTGGCTTGGGCAGCAAAACTAGCCTGCTCAGCGTCACTGTCAGGACCAGGTCCTCGGGTGCTATAAGTCACAGAAGCCCCATTGAAGTCAAAGGGAGTACTTGTGTGCTTCATTGCTCAGCTGGATTGGAGGGGCTGAGAGCTCAGCACCGTGCAGGCTAGAGCCCGTGATGCACTAGCACAAGCCTGTTGCATTTTGGTTGCCAGCACCATAAGAATTTATTGTCATTGACCTTCCTTGAAAATATTTTCACACAAGTTGATTTTGGGGTTTAAATAACTTCCTGGTGTCTCTTTCACAGACTTGTACAGGCAGCTCCCAAATCAGCATCATTCATGTTTACCAAAAGAAATGACCACAAGTGCTGTACTTGCTATGATACATGATAGAACTTTCTATGCATCTGCTAAGTTAGTCGACTGCTGATTTGTCCGGTTGTTGCTACAGTTGCCTGTAACTTAACTGTTTAGAAAACCCAAGAGTGTTAATTGTGTCAGACTAAGGGCTGGTCCACACTGGGGCAGGGGATCGATCTAGGAAACGCAACTTCAGCTACGAGAATAGCGTAGCTGAAGTCGACGTTTCCTAGATCGAACTAAGTTTACTTACTGCGGGTCCACGCGGCGCAGGCAAGCTCCCCCGTCGACAGCGCTTCCTCCTCTCGGCGAGCAGGAGTTCCGCAGTCGACGGGGGAGCACTTCTGGGATCGATTTATCGCGTCCAGATGAGACGCGATAAATCGATCCCAGAAGATCGATCTCTACCTGCCTAACCGGGCAGGTAGTGTGGACCTACCCTAAGTGTTTGAGAAGCATCTCAAAAGTTGAAAATCAGGAAACCCAGTAGCAGTAAAATAGATGGAGATACACTGCAGGAGAGATTTCCAGAGTACATGTGCTAATGAAAACTTGCATGAAAAAATTACAGCACAACAGCAACAATCAGTTTATCACAAGTAACAAAGTAGCCTTGATTCTCCCAGTGTTCTGGGAGCAACAGCAAAGGAAATAAGGAACGCAACTCCATCATTTTTCTATTGGTTATAGACCTATAGATACTTATTACAGAACAATATGGCAAGCCAAATCCTTAGCTAGGCTTAAAATGCCCAAACTAAAATAAAATACGGTTTAAGAAAAGAGACTATGGCCTCAGTCCCGCTTACATTCATGCACATGAATCCTGATGCTGTATACACTACGCACATGCTTAGCTTTGCACATGTGAGTGGTCTCATTTACCTGAGTGTGTAAAATTAAACCTGTGCAGGATCGTGGCCTCAGTCTGACAATTTAGTCCCCTTTTTTAAAGTCAATAAAAAATAAACCAGCCACACTGTTTCATGTAAGCGGTAGAGTCTCTCCTACGTGCATTCAAGCACTCTCGGCTGCCCATTGTGACTGCTTGTGACAGTCAGATCTGACAGCTAGAAGCGTGTGGCGGAAGGCAGAAATATTAGCCCTAGAATGATGCAGGCCCTTTTCCCTATGAACTAAAAAGAGATTACCACAGGTTAATTAGAGACACCTGAGTCAATTAAGCACCCTCCACACACACACCTTTAAAAACCCTCTTCTGGTGTAAGAGTGGGAGGAGAGAGAGAGAGAGAGGGGAGAAAAAAGAAAGAAAGAAAGATGTTTCAGCAGGGAGAAAAAGCGTGGCCTAGGTGAAGAGCTGGTTAGCTCCCTACAGGGAAAGCAGTGAGTTTGCATCTGTTCAGGGAAGGACTAGTGACCAGATGTCAGCGCAGTAAGTCGATACTCTGCTAGGGGCAAGGAGATGTATTTCTTCTGTGGTTTTGCTTAAGGAAACTATTCAGGCCTAGCCTGAGACCCACTGGTAAATCCTGTAAATAAACCGAAGTCCAGAGTGTAAACCCTCTGGAGTGGGAGTGATTTCCTCCAGCCCCTCTCATTGCGCCTTCCCCACCCCCCAAGGGAGAAATGCTGATGTGGCGGAAGAGGTGCCTTGCCACACCCTATCATATTAGAACACAGTGAAGAGTGCTTGGATTAACTTCCAATGAGAATTTTCTGCCAGCCGTTTACAGCACTAGTGATGATTCTGCATTAGTGATCGAAGTTTCTCATTTAACAAGTGTACAAATGCCGTAAAAAAGCAGGAGTGGATAACCAAAAATATACTTCTTTCACTTTGAATTATTTACAGTGCTTCCAAATATACAGATCAAAATTCCTTGATCTGTTTTGTAACAAAAGAAGCATTAGCAAGGTAGGAGTCCTCTCTACAGCATCTGCCATTGAACGTCTGCTGAAGAGTGTGGAGAGACCACTTATTTTTAGTTCCCGTTAGAAGGTGTGCAGTTTAGGAAACTTCTCTTGTATTTCAGAGTAGCAGCCGTGTTAGTCTGTATCCACAAAAAGAACAGGAGTACTTGTGGAAACTTAGAGACTAACAAATTTATTAGAGCATAAGCTTTCGTGGACTACAGTGGGCTGTAGTCCATGAAAGCTTATGCTCTAAT